GGGAGGGCCAGACGCCTGACTTTTCCCAGGACATCACCTGATGCTGAAATTTATTCAATCCACCTTCAAAGACCTGAAGACTGCAGCCACTACACCAACAAATTCAGCAAGGAAAAGCTCGACGAATTCAATGATGTAGTTCAAAATTTACCTGAAGGAATCACCTTTGCCAGAGCTTGCAAGGACTTCATGATAGGCCACTACTTCTGTGAGAGTAAGGAATCAATCCCAGAGATAGAAGACTTGTTCAATCATGCAAGAAGAGGTAAACCTGTTCGAACACTTCACAAAATCGAAGGTGCATGTCAGTTTCTCATCTCTTGTTCTATTAGAGGAGAAATGCTTAAAAAAGTGCTTTGTGATTCTGGAGCTTGTCTTAACATGATGTCCAAGGCAATTGCTTTGAGACTTGGTATTAAACACCTGCGCAGGACTAGAGCAAGGATTAGTGTAGCTGATGATTCTAATGCAACACCTCAAGGAATAGCTCATGACATTTCTTTGAGAGTAGGAGATTGCATCATGCCTGTCGACTTCTACATGGTCGAAACGAGAGACGCAACACATCCAGTGATTCTAGGATGGTCTTTTCTAACAACTTCCGGAGCTATAATGGACTGGCCAAACCGGAGGATTTTGTTTGCTAATATCGACAAAGATGTCTTCACAGAAGCTGTCCTATACAACAGTAAGGCATGAAAACTTTCTGCAACAGAAAAGTTTGAAGAAGAACTTTGGAGTGACGAAGAACCTGCTAGGAAAAGCAAAGAGATGTCGAAAAAGACCTGTCTCAGGACAAGATCTTCTTCATTTGACTAAGCCACGTCCAACACCAAAAGTCGAGCTAAACGACTTAAAACAGAAGCGATTAATGGGAGGCAATCCATTTAGGTATTGTTTTCTTTAGGATTTTTCTTTCTTTTTCCGTTGATCTTTTTCTTTTTCTTAGTTTCAGGTGTTTTTTATAAAACAAAAATGTCAAAAAAATCAAAAAACCGAAAAGACCAAAAAGAAGGATGGTCCATGACTGCTCGGCCCAGCAGGAACCAAGGAGAAGCAGGAAACAGGCCGCGATATAAGCCCCCGCGGTGGCAGGTGTTCTAACCGCGGGAAACACATGTTCGACTGCGGCTGCGTCTTTCTGACCGCGGCCGAGCATCGGTTGCCGCGGTCGCGTGACCTATGACCGCGGAAAATGGTCGTTGAGACGAAACCCGATCCAAAACCACCCACTTCACCTCATTCCACCTCACCAATCCCCCCTCCATCTCATTCATCACTTCCCACCACCTTCATCACCACCTATCACCTTCCCAAACCTCTACGAATGAATCCGGTCCATCACCACCAGCATCTCGAATCCAGGTAAGTTCTCTTTGGCCTTACCAATTCGATTATCTATGCATTTTTCTCATCCAATCTCGACTTGTTTCACACTGAGGACAGTGTGATTTAAGTCTGGGGGAGGATTTCATCCCTTTCTAACCACTTTTCTTTCATGAGTCTTGCATTATCTACACTTTTTTTGCATTTTCCTTAAAGTTTTTCAAAATTGGTTTTCAAAGCAAAATACGTTTTAAAGGGAATGGTGAACATGAATCAATGATAGTTGACTGTGTGCTTTTAGACTGTTCCTAGTGACATGCTCATTCATGATTTAGGACTAGACTAGACGGTAGCTAAGCACATTTGAAACGAAGTACCCCAGAGGAATTTAAATGATTTCGATTTAGATGAAGGAATACACTAGCTCTGTTTTATTTGGACTTAATTTTCTCATTAAAGCATTAGACCAGGGAAACGAATCATACATTCAGGACTCCTTTACCCTTTTTACCACTCTCTGTTGACTTTGAATGGCTAGTTCATCTTTAGCTAGTTCCCACCTTAACCAATCCTCTTTCAAACCACATGCACTCTTGTTTTCTATTGTCTTATTTGCAGATATGTGTAAAAATGTTGGAGGGAAAGAGGAACGACGCAGTTTTCAGTCACTAAAGACAGAGACCTGCGATTTGCCGGAAAAGTTCCCGGAAGGATTCAACACAAGAGGAAGCTCAGTTTGCCTTAGAAAAATCTCACATTTTGGTACAATCTCGTCCTCTAGTCTCTCTCTCTCTTTAAAAGGCATTTCCTTTTCGTTTAAATTAAAAAAAAAAAAAACCGAAAATAAGAAAAGAAAGGAAATAAAGCCTTAGAGAGTCTAGAGAGGTCGAATTTTAAGTCCCAAGGCAACTGGAGTTCGATTTTATGGAGTTTTGAAGATCATTTTCTGATTCCTGGAAAGAATATAAGTTTGGGGGAATAGCTGTTTGCAACAAAGGAGGAAAGATTATGCAACAACATTTGGCAAGAAGAAGTGACTGAAAATTGCGGTCATCAACAGGTCCTTATCTCTCTTGCGGTTTTGCATATTATCTTGCATCCTCCAGATTCATCAGGTAACCCGAAACACTTTAACTCCACCACTTAAACAGCCCTTTAATGCCAAACGCTGTCTACCCTGGATGATGTCTTTAATGAGAACTCACTATTGAACTTAATGAATGTAGAGAGCTAGTTGACTGGAATCAAGATTTAGATTGTTTAAGTTTTGCATGACGGAAAAAGTGGACTAGTATCTTTTGTGTATTGGTGAAAATTTTCTAGACTAAGTCGTGGATTGATGCACGATCTTTGGTCCTAGTTTAGGAGTTCATGTCTCTGAGATTTGTGCATTCTCTATTTTTTTGTTTTCACTTAACCGGTTTAGACTTTTGCTTTGTTTGAGGACAAACAAAGGTTTAAGTCTAGGGGAGTTGATAACACCGTATTTTGACCACTTTTATGTGTCGTTTTGAAATACTTTTTCTATGTTTTTAATTGCTTTTAAGTACTTTTATAACGTTTTTCTAGTATTTGTAGTTCCAAGACTCTTTTCAAGAAACTTAGGGAAAAACTTAACAAAATGGATAGAATACCAGATTTCAACTCAGAGTCAAACCGTCAGAAGTTCACCCCAGATTAAAGGCATTCTCACTGTCTGATCCAGCTCAAATTTGGAGATCTCAAAGATGGAAGTATCAGCTTTCCAGCACACTTTACAGCTTGGCAATCCAACAGTTCAATCAAAAGATACGCGAGGAGCAAGATGTCCCGTAAACCAGCCGGCAAGCGTTTCCACCCGCGGCCAACAGGCCATTCTCTGTGGTCACCACCATCCCGACCGCGGCCAGCCACCCATTCCCCGCGGTCACGCACTTCCCGACCCCGGCCAGCTAAATCCGAGTTCGAAGGCCCATTTCTGAAGCCTGTATCATTTTGTCAGCCTCAATTCCAGAACCCTAGACACCAGAGAGTATTGGAGACTATAAATACATATCATTTAGGTCATTTTTAGGGAGAGAAGAGGAGAGACGAAATACTTTACAAAAATTTTACTTTAACCTTTGTTTTTAGGTTTTAGGGAGAGTAAAATCTATCTCTTGAACCTTTGTTCTTTCTTTTTCAATTTCGGTTTCTGTTCTACTTTATAATACTATGTTTTTGATTTCGTTTATCATGTCTGAGTAGTTTTATTGTTGGGTCTAAGGGATTTTCGATGGGGATATATATGTTCGGTGAGGATTCCATGAGCTATTGAGCCGAATCTTATAATTTTTTCTTCTGAATTTTTTTTTACTGCATGAGAGTAGCATCATGAACTACAATCTGATCCAGATGCTTGGTGACACAAAAGTGTTCATCCGGTGTCAGATCTAGTTTGGGAGAGCAAAACAAACATAGGAGTGGAAACCTACCTATGGGCGATTTGTGAATGCTGACGAGTCTTAAACATAATCCATCTCTTCTTTTCCAGGGCCAGAGTGGAAACCTACTGGTCAGTATTGAGAGAGATAGTTTTCTATGATCACGACAGTGGCGTATTCATACCTCCGTGACTCCAGTTCGAAAAGTTTAAGCTAAGATCTTATCAAATTTACTCTCTAGCAATGTTTTGAATCGTTCATACCCCTGAGAAAACTTCCCTGAACCCCAGCGCTTTCTTTCTTATAGATTTACACCGATTTTCATTCAAGCTTTAGTCTAGTATTTTCATTCTCCCAATCGATTTTCACTTAGCAATTATGTTTAGCCGTTTTTCTCGTTTTTACCCGTTTTCGTTAAGTTTAGTTATTAGGTCATTTTAATTCCCGTATTCTCTCTTTAAGATTCGTTTTTACGTTTTAAACACACCACCAAAACCCTCACAAAACTCATCTGGTTCTAGACTTCCTTACTTTATATTTCTTTCGAAGACTTTTGCAGGAAAAATCCTCCTTCCCTGTGGATTCGATCCCTAAATACTACAATCGATCAGCTGTGCACTTGCGGCTATTGATTTCATTTAGGGTAAAACTTGACAACCCTCGACACACACCACATCATTGGTGATTGATGGTTTGCATGGATTGGATTACTGCTTGAATCAATGCTCTGTAGTGGTTAGGTTTGCATTAGAGAGTGGAGTCAATGCTTTGTTGAATTAGGATGTGTTTCTTGTTGCTTTATGTCACGGTTGATAAATGCAAAGTAGTTTTAGAGAGTGGAATCAATGCATCTGTTTCACAATGAATGCTAACTACAAACTCTAACTATAATCTTTTGCTTAATCTTCACAAACTCTAACTATAAGAACATAAGTTTCCTTTACCTTCCATAACTCTCATTCGCATAAGTAAACACACACCATAAGTCTAACTTTAACTCTAACTCCATCTTCAATGCTAGTTCAAAGTGTGAATAGCTTCTATATATTGAAGCTTCACTTTGTTTCTTTTAAAAAACACACACCCAAACCTCTTTCCTTTCATTTGCTTCTTACTCGCAGAAAACACACACCCAAACACACACCCTAAACACATTCACTAAACCTTCCAATGGATTCTACAAATCATTTTTCTAACACTTCAGGCTTCATGGACCTGCTAACTAGCCAACAAATAAACCAAACCCATAGCCTCAAACCCATGGAAACAACCATGGCACTCGGTGATTCACAAGTTCCAGTGTTTGGAACACAATGGAGTGATGCTCCAAGTCCAAGTGATTCATAAGTCAAAGAGCGTAAGACCAGGAAGCCATGGACTCCCACTGAAGATCTTGTGCTCATAAGCGCCTGGCTTAATACAAGCAAGGATCCAATCATTAGTAATGGGCAAAGGGCAGATGCATTTTGTAAAAAGATAGCCATCTACTATGCGGCGAGTCCTAAGGTGTCTGCTTAAGAAAAAAGAGGGCCAAGTAACTGTAAACAGAGATGGGCCAAGATAAATGAGTCTGTGTTTAAGTTTGTTGGATCGTTTGAGGCAGCTTCAGCTCAAAAAACATCAGGGCAAAATGAAAATGATGTAATGAAGCTGGCATTGGACATGTACTTCAACGATTACAAACACAAATTCACCATGGAGCACGCCTGGAGAGAACTGCGACATGATCAAAAGTGGGGAGGAAGTGGAAGTTCAAAAAAAAGAAGAACCGATGCTGTTAGTGTTGAAGGAACCGATGCTCCTTTCAGCCATGGAGAGGATGAAGGAGTTCCTCGGCCTGCTGGTGTAAAGGCATCCAAGGCAAAAAAAACAACAAAGACCAATTCTGCTAGTTTGGAAGAAGATGGTAAGGGTTTAGTGGAGTTTAGAAGCATCTGGGAGCTAAGGGAAAAGGAGTTAGCCTTGAAAGATAAGACTAACAAGCAAAAGATACTAGAGAATCTGCTTGCCAAAACCGATTCTCTTAGTGATGTAGAAGTTGAACTTAAGAACAAGCTCATTAATGAAATGTTGTCAAATATGTGAGAGTTTTTTCATGTTTGGTTTGTATGAGTGAGTTTTCGGTTAAGTTTGTTTTCCCTTTGTATCAGTGAGTTTTTGGGTTAAGTATGATTTCAGTTAAGTATGATTTAGAAGTTGTATATCTTTTATTGAATGGTTTCTATGTGTTTTAATCAAGTCTTTCATTTGTAACAGAAGTTCATGTTTCATATATGATTCTGGTTCTATTTTTAGTTCATTGTTGTTCATGATCCATTTTTCTTATTGCAGGCACCAAGGAGGCATTGCACAAACGGCTACAAAGAGTTAAGTGTATGGTTTAGAGGTGGGCCAAGAAAAGGTTTAAATAGTCATGGTTTTGTGTATGGTTTTGCGTATTGATATAGGTTTAGTTTTGGCCAAGTATTGATTTAGATTGCTATAGGTTTAGTTCTTGAGTATTGGTATAGAATATTAGTATGGGCCACCATTAATGTTTTGAAAATATGGACGAGGCATAGAGTTTTTTTGGGCCTGGTTTAGGTGTGAATTTGGCTGATGTTTTGAAAATATGGTCGATGCTCATAATTATGGCCGACGTTTTGTTGGTCCCACATGTTTTGGCCGACGTTTTTGGCCTTGTATTTTGACAGTTCGTTTTTGTGGCTTTGTTTTGGGAGCCACCAGGCCCGACCTTGAGGGCAGGCGAGGGAGACGACCGCTGCGGGCATCCACTCTAAAAGAACATATTATTTGCAGCATTCACTATAAACGGGCATATATGTTAAAAAAAAAATTATTAGGGATCAAACTCTAGTTTTTCTCAAGTCCAGGTTTGAACCGTTCCAAAAGTATAAACAAATTTTTGGGTTTTTGTTTGATATAAAAAAACTAATATCAGCCATCAATGATAGTTTAAATAAATCATGTGCGAATTTAGAGGCTTCTTTAAAGAATGGTACACATTCAGACATAGATGGTGATGATCTGTTTATGGAACTGAAAATTCTTCGAGTATCAATACCAGATGATGTTCATAAGCCTATTGAAGTGCTTGATTTTTTGAAAAAAAATGGAGGTTATTGTCAAACACCTGTTTAGGTTTTTTTTTAATTGTGTGAATAAATAATAACAAACCCTAAGTCTTGTTATAGCCCCAAAAACCCGACTCCCAAACCCACTAGATAAAAGAAAACCTAAATCTAGCCCAATAAGGAAACCGTACCGTGGGGGGCTTCGCCCCCCACATCCCCCAAGTGAATTCGCGTCCACCTATGGTCTGTTACATTCCTCAGCTCGCTCTAGCAGAGCCTCTTTAGTTATCTTTGTCACCAAAAACAACAAAATGAGTTAGCTTTGTTATCAATTGAGACAGCTATGGTTGAAAAACTCGACTACGACAGTTTAATGAACGATTTTACATGGAAAAATGCAAGAAGATCTATATTTCAGCAATAAAACTATATGTTTTATTGGATCTTTTTCTTTTCTTACAAACCGTTTATGGAATTTAATTGTTTTATGAAATTTTTGTTTTATTTTTTTATTATTTTAATTTTGAAAAAAAAATATAAAAGGGCATATTTAAAAAGGTTAGACGCGGGCATCCAAGTTCATCGGTCCGGCATTGGGAGCCACACATATTGTTTTGTATGTATATGTTCACACCACAAATTTATTTTCCTTCTCATTATTTGTACTACAAGCGACGATTTGTAATGTCTACCACATCATTATGAAAGGTGTAAACTCATTTATGCTCAATATATATAGGACAAATTGTGCTCACAAACAAATCACTCTTCTCTCCTTCAAATTAAATTAATTTATAACTCTCTTCAACATCATCTTTCTTTCTCACAACAACTAACCACCTAAAAAATGGCATTTTCATCCAATAATAATTTTGAGAATATTATGGATAACAGATTTGAGCAAGCTTTTGAAAATGCATTTGAAAATTTACTTGTTGATCAAGGCAATCGTCAAAGAGCCACCAAGAAAAAAAGAGCTTATATTAAGAGAGATCGGGAACAAGGTCACATCCGTTTATAGAACTACTATTTCTGAGAAGATTTAACATACCAACCCTATATGTTCTGTCGTTGTTTTAGAATGAACAAAGAAGAGATGCTACCGGAAGATCCGGTCTCTCTGCACTACAAAAATCTACAGCAGTCATTCGTATGATGGCATATGGTTGTGCGACTGATGCGGTTGATGAATACATCCGGCTTGGTGAAAGCACCACCATTTTTTGCTTGGAAATTTTGTAGAAGGAATCATATATCTGTTTGGAGATGAGTATCTAAGAAGACCCACACCAGAAGATCTTCAACGCCTACTAGATATTGGAGAATATCGCGGATTTCCCGGGATGATAGGAATCATCGATTGTATGCATTGGGAGTGGAAAAATTGCCAGGCCGCTTGGACAGGACAATTCACACGAGGATCTGGAAAACCGACAATCGTTTTAGAGGCTATAGCTTCACAAGATCTTTGGATATGGCATGCATTTTTTGGACCTCCAGATACCTTAAATGATATTAATGTTCTTGATTGCTCACCGGTATTTGATGATATATTACGAGGTAAAGCTCCAAAAGTGAATTACTTTGTCAACAGACGACAATATCATTTGGCTTACTATCTCACCGATGGAATTTATCCAAAATAGGCTACATTTATCCAATCAATTAACCTTCCAGAAGGTGACAAAGCATGCTTATTTGCAAAACGGCAAGAAGCTGCACGTAAAGATGTCGAGCATGCTTTTGGAGTCTTGCAAGCTCGGTTTGCCATAGTCAAAAATCCAGCTCTGATGTGGGATAAGGTGAAAATAGGAAAAGATTATGCGAGCATATATAATACTTCATAACATGATCGTAGAAGACGAACGAGATGTGTACACTCAGTTTAATGTTGAAGAATTCGCACAAGTAGAAGCAAACAAAACTTCACATGTGGATATGACATATTCTACCGATATGCCTTCAAATCTCACTAATATTATGGCCATCCGTAATTCAGTTCGTGCTCGAAATACGCATGACCAATTAAAAGAAGATTCAGTTGAGCATTTATGGATTTAATTTAGTTTTATGTAATGTCTGTTTAAATTTCAAATCAATAAAGTTATATGTATTCATAAAATATTTGTATTTCAAAAATTATTTAAAAAAAAAAATTTTAGAACCTCATTAGGAGACTATCATTGGTGCATAAAATTTAGAAGGGATGTAGTATAGGTTATAAAACAAAAAAAAAAAGATGATTAAATCTATTATAATTATTGATTAGAACCCCTCATTACATCCCATGGTTGGAGGTGGTCTAAATGGACACTTCGATTTCTCAGGTATGAATCTGCACCATTTGGAATAGTTTGGGCACAGATTGACCGTTTTCCCAAAATCAGAGATACACTTCTAAGGAATAGCGAGGTTGGATTGCCCGACTCCAAGAAACTTGTAAAGAATACACCCACCTTCCCATATTGATCCCAAACCTATGGTGTTTTAATAGATATTAAATTCACTGCTCTCAAGAAACCCTCTTCATTAAAAATGTCGTTTAGAGTTTTGGAAGAAATCCATTATCGACAAAGATCAGCGTACGAAGAAGAAATCGTTTCAGAAGGATATCATATAAAAGATCTGAAGGGAGAGAGTTGATGCTTATTGGATTGGCCATATTCATAGATCTGGAATGAGAAGGATCTTTGGGGTGATGGTGTATTTGTAGGTTTTCAGAACAGATACAACGTTTGGACAGCATACACCGTTAAATAAAATCGTTAAATATGTTTCATAACCATTTTATACATAAATCATTTTAATTAGACGCTCACAAGTAATACAGCAGACTTCTAACGTAGACTACTAACTTATGCTTCTCACGAAGACTTCTTCTTCACACAAAGACTTCTTCTTCTAACGCAGACTTCTCACGAAGACTTCTTCTTCTTCTTATGATCAATCTTCGATGACTAAGTGAAAAGCACAATAGCTTAGAAAATCAAAAAATAAATTTAGCATTGTAAATTATTAAATGAATAACTGAATTCAACTTACATAATACAGTAGAATATGACCAGGTTGCTTACATTTTGAAAAACTGTATTGCTTGTGCATCTTTCTTGGTTTGGTGCCTTTCTTGCAATTTTGAGCTATGATTGCCAGCGAGACATCTTCTGTTATATTGGGATAGATATTATGCGAGTATGCAGCATACAAATAATCTTTCGAGTAAGTAGGACATACAAGTGTATCCACAGGTATCCCAACCTCTAATGCAGCTGCAATAACATGTGAACAAAGTATATTTTTCTATATAAAACACACCACATACACACATTCGATATTCCAAATCAACAACACAACTCCGGTGTCCTCTTTTTTACATGGAATCTCCAAGTATATATGCATTCCACCTCCATTGAATCCGATAATGACCATGAATCACCAACAAATATTCAACTCCAAGAGTATGATGTGTTATGAGACTCAAAGCATCTTCTCTCCATTTTGAAAACCACCTACCGAGTTTCTCTGGTTTAAACTCCAAAAGAAATGATATAGGAAAACCGTGTGCTTTCTTAAGTGCAGAATTAGACTCTGCGATATTGCTAGTCTTTACATTATATTGGTATCCACATAAATGAACTTGGGACCAAAGCTTAACGTCTGCGTCCTCCAAATAATCTGCAAGATAAGGTTTGATTTGCCAGAACTCTTCCATGCACTGGTTGTAATCGTAGTTGTTGTACGCATATGCAACACGTTTAACCAAGTACAACAAATTTTTCTCCTTAAACTTTGTGACTATGTTATTTTGTAGATGATAATAACATATCCCTCATGATGCCCCAAAGAAAACAGTTTCACATGCCTTCTTAATAGAAGGATGTCTTTCATAAACTATCATCAAAGGATATCCATCTGAAACACATTCACACAGTTTTGAGAAAAATCATTCTCATGAAGCATCATTTTCAGCGTCTACAATTCCAAATGCCAAAGGAAATATCTGAAAAATTACCATCATGTGTGTTTGCCACTAACATAACACCTTCATACTTCTCAGTTAGATGATATCTATCCACTACAGTAACTCTTCTGAGATACTGAAAACTAGCTATAGATGCTGCAAGACCACAAATAGGTATTGGAATTTATTCTTATCATCAAGCTGAAGAGCTGTTACAGTTCTTGGATTAGCTTTTTGAAGTAAATGTAAATAGGCTGGGAGAATCGCATATCATCAGCTGTTCTCCTCACCAATTGTTAGGCATATATCAAAGCTATGTATGAAGTAGAAAAATCCATCTTGATGCCAAAAATATGCTTCATTGAATCTTTGATATGTTGTGGTGTAATTCCATCAATTATGCCGAAATTGCTTATAAACAGCCTCCCAATATACTGCGGAGTAGACTTTCCATGGCGAGCCATTCGGTCTGACACTAAACATGTATGGACTTTCACATACTTTATCACCCAAAATGTGTTTGGTTCATTCTTCATACTCACTCTAACCTTTGACCCACATCCTTGCACACGACATTTAGCCACAAGGAGCATCTTTGTAGACTTATGTGCTTTGAAAGTAAATTTTAACATTATCGCCGTTAATCTGAACTCTGATAACAGCTTTTTCTTGCTAGGGAAACTCGCACAGAATAGATATTGCCAAACCATGACGTGGAAATTATTCCTGCTTGACCAGAACCCTTTCTCACATGATCAATACTGATATCATCTTCATCTTTAATTTTACCATAGACATTGTAATCTTCACCGTTAGAGTAAGCTGCTAGATCTTTAGTATCTTCATTCGCATCATAAGTGGCTGCCTTGTCATCAATAGTATATTCAGCATCTTCACCAGACTCCTCACCTACATCTTCAGCCAAATCTTCCTGGATTTTCTCATTACCCATCTCCATTCGACTCGACAAAAAAAGACGTACCACATGCATTCTTCTAAACTCAATCAAGCTTTGAACTTATCTGTCATTGGTGACATGCGTTGGAGTTGTATTCGATGCAAAGTTTTGCATTGAATCCGGTAGTGAGTAAGTTAACCCACCAACTCAGTCTTCTTGTCCAGATTATAATCATCTTGTGCCATTTCAGTAAGTTTCCCAAAGATATAATTATCACTCAAAAAGAATAATCTTCCTCCTTTGCCACTATCCACCACAAAATGCCATAATTTCTCTTCTATCTCCCGTTCTCCGTAAACAACAGGTATTTGAACCATTCTATGTAGTAAAAACACAAATAAACTATATAAGAGATTTCGTGTGCAGAATTCATACACAGCCTTCGTTTGAAGTCTACTCTCCCAAGCTAACTAGCTATTAAATCAAAAAATTTGATTCGCAATAAATATCGACTTAAAACAAATGAAACTCATTGAGTAGTTAAACCAGTTGCTAACACACATGCCAAAACCTATAAATAACAAAAAAATCATTATAAATATTCGATAAATGTATTTTTAAAATAATGATAGCACACAGACTTCTCATGCAGACTTCAACAATAGACTAGAGGTGAAGTATACTTTTCTATTAGAAATCTGCGAAAGAAACCTACTTAAAAATAGGTTATTTTTGCATTTGACCAAAATATTAACTTTATTATAATAGACTTCACCAGTATACTTCAAGAGAAAAAGGTATGTTGTACATTTGACCCGAATTTTTTGACTTTTGGAATAGACTTCAGGTGAAATATACTTTTACGAGTATACTTCATCTGCAGTCTGCGATTGAACTCTACAGAGTTCTACTGAAGTCTATTGGAAAAAGAGGTCAGTTTTGCATTTGATTTTTCAGAGTAGACTGCAGCTAAAATCTACTAAAAATTATTACTTTTATGTTTGACTGAAAATTTTCAGAGTAGACTTCACCTGAAGTACTTCATTTTTTGAAAAAGTAGACTTAACCTCAAGTCTACTCTTAAAAAAAAAATTTTAATTTAAATTTTTTATCAAATGCAAAAGTAACCTCAATAATTTTGTCAAATAAAAAAATAACTTCAAAGAAGACTTCACTCGATAGCTACTTTTTAAAAGTCAAAATTTGGTCAACTACCAAAATAACCTCTATTTTTTGGAGACTTCTTCTGCATCAAAAGAAGTCTACTGGTTTTGTTTTTTGTTTTCAAAGGATATTGCAAAACTAACTTCGCGTTGACTAGTAAACTTCAGGTGAAGTCTATTTTTGCGATACAAATATAGAAATTATCGAAAATGAAGTGTATCATTACCTATATCGGTTTTGAGCTCGTTTTTAGGTATCTCAAACACTCAAAACCCTGAATTTGACCGAAAAGAAACAACCCAAGTCATGGTTATATAAGAATCACCAAAAATGCATCATCCATGATATTGTAGATCAATCCAGAAGTTTTGGAGATGAAATTGGAGAGAATATGGAAGATTATGAAGTTATGAGGTCTGTTATTTAATTATTACAGCTTTAAAATAGGTTGAGAAGCATTTGAAGCTTCAAAGTAGTTGATAATAGTGGTTGGAGATATGGAAGAATATGACATTCTCGTAGGTTTGTTTGGTCTTTGTATTATATTTTAAAAAAAAATATATATATATATATATGTATATATATAATGAATAATAGTATTTTTCGTTAATATATATGTGTGTGAAAGATAATGTAGATAAAAAGTAATAAATTGTGGAAAAAGGAAAAAATGAGTTATTTTGGTGTTTGACCTTAACTTTTAAGTGAAATCTTACAAAATGCCCTTAAAAATTCAAAATTTGGTCAAATGCAATTTTTGCAAGTAGCATCTTGTTTAATCCATGCAATTTTTTTTTCATTATACTACCTTTAATAATGAAATTGACTAATTATAAATCCATGCAATTATCAATTATAATTTCTTTTTTAATTATTACATAATATTGGAAAGACTGAATAAAACGAATAAAGAGAACTAAATCGAATATTAGCGAGATCACTAATACTTGGTAAGATTTTTGTAATTAAAGAACTAAAACGAATAAATGATTCGTGATCTCGCTAATATTTGGTAAGATTTTGTGTACCGGCTAAACCTAACAAACTCTACAACCAATCCCTATAATAATATAGAGGATACACTGAAGTTGCTATTTCATCACCAAAAATACATGGACCAACACCTAATAAATATGTATTTTATCCTAGAATTATAATACTCAAAATTTATATTCTCACGCATCACGTGCATTGCGTGGGCATGGGTTAAGATCTATCCACTAAAGTATTTCCGCTATTTGATCATTTGACCGTTAAGGTACTACACTCACTAGTCACCTCAAATGTAGTAGTCAAACCGGTCAAATGATTTTATATATTATCTAACAGAAAATTATATGTAATAAACGAAAAGTATTTTTGATTTTTAAACGAAAAGTTTTTAATAGTAAATAATGCGAGATTACATATACATACATGTTCTTTCTTATAGTAGAGTCAGCCTAGGAGAATTGATACAAGATGTGGAGGCTGAGGATCGGAGATAAGGCAGGAGATAATCCTTACTTGTGCACCACCAACAAATTCCTCGGAAGACAGATATGGGAGTTCGATGTAAACGCAGGCTCTCCAGAAGAACTCGCCGAGGTCGAGGAGGCTCGCAAGAATTTCTCAGAAAATAGGTCAAACTACAAGGCTAGTGCGGATCTCCTTTGGCGTATGCAGGTAAAACATTTCACCGCAGAAAAACATTGACATTAAAATTGGTCCATACGGCAAGAATTGTAAAAAAAATTAAAAAAAAAACTTCTTAAATTAAAAGTTTCTAAGGGTCTTTACATTTTACCAAAAAAAAAATAGTTTCTAAGGGAGAAGAAGTTCGAGCAGAAGATTCCACGGGTTATAATAGAGGATGCAGAGAAAATAACGTATGAAGACGCGAGGACGGCACTGAGAAGAGGAATACTTTATATGGCAGCATTGCAGGCTGATGATGGACATTGGCCTGCTGAAAATGCTGGTTGCATGTTCTTCAACGCCCCATTTGTGAGCTCCACATGCACTTGAGTCCTCTATTAACTAAATGATTAGGAAAAATAACTGACTCGGTGAAAATTAATATCAGGTCATATGCTTGTATATCACTGGCCCACTACAAGAAAACATGCCATATTCTTACGAAAATTCCTACGAATGTATTTGGTAGGAATATTTTTCACCAATTTCTTACGCAATTATGACGAAAAATAAAAGTGGTAGGAAATATGTAAGAAATTTCCTACGAAAAAAAATGTCAAAAAGTGGTAGGAGATATCCAACCAATAACCTACAGAATTTATATTCATAGAAAATACGGTCAAAATTTGGTAGGAAAGTTGTAAGATCCAATTGACTGTTACACTGGTGGAAATTTCGTAGGAAATTGTCCTATGGATTTCCTATGAAATATTATTTGTAGAAAAATCGTAGGAATTTTGTAAGAAAAGATGTCTTTTTGTTTGTCCCATATCGAAAAGTTAAGAATTTAGATGAAACTGCACTATAAAAAGACCAAAATTAAAATTTTCTACGGATTTCCTATGAAATATCGTTTGTAGAAAAAATCGTAGGAATTTCGTAGGAAACTTATGCTTTTTGATTTGTCCCACATCGACAATCTAAGTTAATTTGGGTGAAGAAGTTGCTCTATAAATAAGAGTCTTCACCTTCTTTCCCTCTACTTAATAATTATTTAGTCAAATTTTAAGCTCATAATAATTAAAGAATTTATTTTGTTTTTTGTATATATTTCATTAATCAAATTTATAATTAATTTGTATTTTAATTTAAATTCAATTTCCGATATTAATTTAATTTTTTATTTTTATAAAATTATATTGGTAGGAAATTAGTAAGAAATTAGTAGTAAAAGATTAGTAAAAAATTCATAAGTGATGTTTCGTAGGAAATTGGAAGGAACATTAATCGATAGAAAATGATAGTAATTTGGTAGGAAAGTATTACTAAAATTTTCGTAGGAAAACTATCCTACCAACATTTTCGTAGGAAATTTCCTACCATTTTTTTACGTTTTACAATTTCCGACGGCCGATTTCTTATGACAAAATTTCGTAGGAATTTGGTAAGAAAGGGCTCTTTCCTACGTTTTTTTGACGATATTTTCCGTAGGTTTTCGGCATGTTTTCTTGTAGTGGCCATCTTGATAGTATCTTCTCTCATGAGCACCGGAAAGAGATGATGCGTTACTTGTAAAACCATCAGGTTTGGTATTTTTCTCCTTTAATCTTCTCCATAGTTTTTTGCAAGTGACTTCAATGTTTTTTTGTTAAAAAAAAAAAACCAATTCATGGTGGTCTAGTGGTTGAGGATTCACCCTGTTAATTGTGGACCAGGAGAGTCCTCCCACTATGATTTAAATCATGATTGATACCTGCATGTAGACGCCTTAAATGGCAAGAAACCCCAGATTTTCACAGACCCTGGAGATTCTCTGGCTATGCTTTTTTTTTTTGTTCTGTTCCATTCTTTTCCAAAATTGACCAAATTTTATATTAAAGAACGAGGATGGTGGGTGGAGTAGAACCCGATTATGATGGTCAACAAAGTGCTTGTGCAAGGGCTCGTAAATGGATCCTTGACCACGGTGGTGCTACTTATACGCCATTGTTTGGAAAGGCTTGGCTTTCGGTACGTCAAATATACCAATTAGAGATTAATCTCGCTTCATCAATCATCTTAATTTGGTTATATATATAAATTTTTCCTAAACTGATTTTTTTTCATTTCAAATAATGAGGTTCTTGGTGTGTATGAATGGTCTGGCTGCAAACCGATACCGCCAGAGTTCTGGTTGCTACCTTCTTGGTTTCCTATTAGTGGAGGTTTGGAATTTGAGATTAACTCTTTATATATGATGGCATTGGTTACAATTTTCTTTTCTTTTTTCTTTTTTTCCAAATTGAATTTTCGATTAGCTTTACAAGTATTTTCATATAACTGCAGGCACTCTCTGGATTTATTTACGGGATACTTTTTTGGCATTGTCCTATTTGTATGGTAAAAAATTTGTTGCTACATCAACACCTCTCATTCTACAGCTTCGTGAAGAGCTTTATCCTCAGCCTTATGCGGATATTGTTTGGAGTCAAGCTCGCAATCAATGCGCAAAGGTAGTTCTATATTTATATGCAGTGATGTTTAAAATAACTTTTACATGCTTATAAGTATGCCAAAGTTAATTGGTACATAATAAATGTGAGGACATGATGCAGGAAGATTTATACTATCCACAAACGTTTGTACAAGATTAGTTTTGGAAAAGTGTTCATATGTTTTCGGAGAACATCTTAAATCGATGGCCTTTCAAGAAGCTCATAAGAGAAAAAGCTATCCGAACAGCAATGGAACTCATTCACTACCATGGGGAAGCAACCCAATTCATTACTGGTGGAGCTGTGCCAAAGGTAAACAATTTTACATTGAAAAAAGAAAACAAAAAAGTGATATGCCGTTTTGTTTTTTAAGAAAAATTAATAAATATAGAAATACAGGTGTTTCATATGCTAGCTTGTTGGGTTGATGATCCAGAGAGTGATTATTTTAAAAAACATCTCGCTCGAGTCCCTGGATTCATATGGATTGCAGAGGACGGCCTGAAAATCCAGGTTAGCTTTTATCATATACTTCCTCTATTTCAAAATATATATTTTGTTTTAGAGGTTTTTTGTGTTTCAAAATATAAACTGTTCTCACATTTCTACGTAATATTTATATTTATTGGATACAATGTGACCAATTATATGCTGCACCATTTTTTATGGAAATCTATTCACTTTTGATTTATTGTTTTTAATATATATATTAAATGATACTTTTTGAAAGAAAAAAACAAATTTCTTAATCTCTTCACTTTTAGCTAAAACAATTTATAAGAAAACAGAGAGAGAATATATAAACTCTTAGCCATTTGTTTGAAATATACATTTTTGCAGACTTTTGGTAGCCAAATATGGGATACAGCCTTCTTGCTACAAGTAATGTTAGCTGCTACTTTTGACGACGAGATTAGATCAACGCTCATAAAAGGATACTCTTACTTAAGGAAATCTCAGCTTACAGAAAATCCTCCTGGTGTATATACCAAAATGTTCAGAGACATATCAAAAGGAGGCTGGAGTCTTTCAGACAAAGATCAAGGTTGGCCAGTTTCAGATTGTATTGCTGAGAGTTCAGAGGTGCGCACGTGTGGTTCATCTTAATTATTACTAACAAGTTTAAATAACGAATTGTGTTCATCTTAGTTCTATTCCGCGTTTGTGGCCAGTGCTGCCTAATCTTTCAGGACATGCCGTCTGAGTTTATTGGTGAGAAAATGGAGGTGGAGAGGCTTTATGATGCCGTCAATATGCTGCTCTATTTGCAGGTAATTTTGATTATTACTCTTTTAGAGTACTAAAAAGAAGTTAATGGACTTACAAAAAGGAAAAGAAGTTAATGGATTTTTTTAATTAACAAATAAAATTAATTTTATAATTGTTATTACAATTAATAAATCTAGAAACTGAAAAAAAGAAAAAAATTCTTCTTTAGTTAAAAAGAAATTTTACAAGTTTTTTTTACAATTAATCAAAAAGAAAAAGAAGAAAAGTTTATTCATTAAGAAAAATTAGAAGAAACAAATTATCGTCTTCATCCTACCTTTCTTTTCTCATAATCATCTGCCAATCACCAATAAGATGTTCAAATATATTCCTTTATTTTTAACAAAAAAATAAACATTTCCATTAAGTATTTTGACAGTGCATACTGAAAATTCTAGATTTTTTATATTTTTATTTTAGTTTGAAAAATTATTATGCAAGTAATATATATTGAAAATTTAAAGTGTTAATGAATATTATTTTGAAATTTTTTTGCAATTTTCCCTCCACAAATATATTGGCTCTAGGATATCTATTATATATTGTTTTTGTTAGCTAGATATTATATTATTAAAATTTACATTAAATTCATAAAACCATATTTTAAAAATGAAACAGAAAGGGTATTAAGTTAATATAAAATGCCACATGTTATCATGTGCGACACTTATCCCAATAATTATCTTGTCCTAATAACAGAGCGATAATGGCGGTATAGCAATATGGGAGGCAGCACGAGGGAAAAAATGGCTAGAGGTATTTTTTTTTCCTTCAATTCTAGTGTCTAAGTAATGATTTAAGCAACCATTAAACCGCATGTTATTAGTTTTTTTTTGTAATAAAGTTTATTTATAACATTGTAGCAATCAAATGTTGCGTTTAGATTACGTTTTCCAAAGACTCTCATTTATAAAACACTGCAAGCAAATATAGAACTTAGTCTATTCATATATTTTTGGGGAAAATTCTCCTACAAAACAAAGAAAAATGTGAAAGTTCTAAAACATAATAAATCATGTATACATAATTATTTATTTTCATGTTTACACTTGGTTTGCATAATGATAAAGCAGAATATATATAAAAAAATATATATCTCAAAATATATTGCAGTGGCTTAGTCCAATAGAGTTTATTGAAGACACAATCGTAGAGCATGAGTATCTAGAATGCACAGGTTCGGCGATAGTAGTGTTGGCTCGATTCATGAAACAGTTTCCAGGGCACAGAACAAAAGAGGTCAAAAGGTTTATAACAAAGGGAGTGAAATACATAGAGGACTTGCAAATGCCAGATGGTTCATGGTATGGGAACTGGGGTGTGTGTTTCATATATGGAACCTTCTTCGCAGTACGAGGTCTAGTGGCTGCGGGAAAGACTTACAATAACTGTGAGGGGGTTCGTAAAGCAGTTTGTTTCCTTCTCGAGAACCAAAACATCGAAGGTGGTTGGGGAGAGAGTTATCTTTCTTGCCCCAACAAAAAATATACTCCTTTGAGTGGAAACACGACCAATGTGGTGAATACAGGACAAGCACTGATGGTTCTGATCATGGGTGGTCAGATGGAGAGAGACCCTTTACCCGTTCATCGCGCGGCAAAAGTGTTGATCAATTCGCAGATGGATAACGGCGATTTCCCACAACAGGTGTGATTCTTATTAAACTATAGTCTTATTAAATACTTTAAATGTTCTATATGTAACTTTTGTTATTATTTATTTATATAAATTTTGCAGGAAGTAAGAGGAGCCTACAAAATGAATGTGCTGCTTCATTATCCAACCTATAGGAACATGTTTACTCTTTGGGCACTCACATATTACACGCAGGCTCTGCGCCTGCTCGTCTGATGATATGACTCTACATCAGAAACTCATCAGTGTTACACCATGTTTTTTCCATTCTTTTTTCTGAAAAATAATTATACTCTATTAATATTGGGATCTCTTTTCTTCTCGTCTAATGAATTTTATTAAAACATAAAAAAACATAGAAACAATACCGCTTACAACATAAGAACAAAACCGTTTCCGAACCTCACAATCACCTCTCTTTTTTAAAAAAAAAAATATTTATTTATCAATTAGATTCACTTTAAATTTATATAAGTTTTGAAATCTGTTTTTAGAACCTCTCATTTATTTAGAGAGATTAAGCTTTAGGTCAATTTTAGATTTATCTACTTATGAACATATGTTTTATTTTTGGATAATATAACTTTATCATCCATCGGATATCTTATAAAATTTTCTACAAATTTTCAATAGAGACTTATTCCAACAAGGAATCGAAAAATATTCATCAAAAATATTATTAAAGAATTTCTAGTAGAAAAGAATTCATCGAAAATTTTGAAAAGATCTTTTTCCCACAAAATTTTTGAAGGAAAACTGCATATTTTAAAAAAAATTAAACGCAAATTTTAATTTAAAATTTTTATTATACAGATCATAATTATGTATATTGTCAATTTTAGCCACAAGTCACACACATCTTGGTATAGTTAAAACTAACCATGAAAATAAAAAATGTATTTAATAGACAAAAATTTGAATTTGTTGCTAAAACGTTAAATTTCAGATATCACAATTAAACTAAAAAATTAGTTAAAAATATAGAAATTCTTATTAGTCTCTTCAGCATTAAATTTTGAAAACTATTATCGACCATTGGAAAAAATAAATTACAAGTGAATCGCCACTAAATCTCTGTTTTTTGTCTTTTGGTCCAACAGAAAAATCTCTGTTTTATACATACTCATTTACATAATATTTTTAACAGCAGCCATCTTCATATTTTTCTTCTTATAGCAGTCATCTTCATATTTTTTTTAACTACAGTATTACATTTTTATTCTCTCATATAATAACATTTATGAAAAAAAAGTTCTCATATGAGAAGTATTAACAGAATCCAAAACATAACAAAAGTAGAAAAAAAAAACCAAATTACAAAATGTTATTGGTAATACTAACGAGAATAAAAATATTGTTGTACCAATAACAGTTGTGATTTGATGTAGAAATCATGAGTTTGAATCTTATTTTTATACTAGGTGGTAGTCCGCACCATGTGCGGGTAAAAATGTGTTAAAAATAAAAGTCGTTCTGAAAGTGATGATCACATACTTTAATTTTTCATAATTTTGAACTGTTTAACTTAAACAGACAAAAATATTAATACTGTGAGTAATTTACATAATACTATCGAACGTGAAACACAAGAAAATTTGTAACTCATCAAACTAAAAAAAAAAACAAAAGCAAAGAGAGCACCGATCCAATATCCCAAAACCCCAAAATAGAATAGTTGATGTGTTTTGAATTCAGTAAAAGATATAGTGTTAGAAGATTTAACACAAGATATAATTGGGTGATCACATCTTTAAACTTTTAACTTTATTACAAATAAAATACTAAACACAAATATAACAACAATGTTAGACATTTGACCAACAATTAAAAGATCTAATAACTATAATGAATATATTGTTCCATTTACTAAAACATTATAATTACAGAAGTTTCTTTTTCTGTAATTCTTTTATCTCTCCCTCACCAGAAAATTATCTCCATTTTTTTGCAAGTGTTTGTCATTCTAATCGGTTCTTCCATATGTTTCTCTTCTTCTTTTTTTTTAACTTATTGAATTATGTTCTCTC